GAGAGAGAGAGAGAGAGAGAGAGAGAGAGAGAGAGAGAGAGAGAGAGGCAGAGAGAGAGAAAAATAACGAATGAGTCTAACCTGTTGCAATGTTATGTAGATTGGTTTGTTAAGAACGATCCATGTTACGGTTTCGTGGCAACCGGGTGCTGTCGTTGAACCTTCGTACGTCATGTAGTGTTCAGTATCAGGCAACAAACCACGAATTGATATGTGCTTTATCCTAGCTTCATTATCACCATAACGAATTCGGCCCAGCTCCTCGGTGAGTATCCTCAGTTCGGCATTGGAAAGCTCACCTTTCTGAAATTGGCATCCAAACCGAAAATTGTAAACACAAAATTAAATTAGTATTTTCAATATACATGCATACAGTCATGGAAATTTAATTAGGACCGGCATTGAAATTTCAACTATGATTCTTCCACGATTTTTCATACAAAAAATGCTATAAAGTTTAGTTTGGTCTGTAACTTTTCGAATTTGTTAAGAAATTTGAAATCTATTAAATGGTAATGTGGAAAAATGTATTTCAATTAAATACGACCATCGGTGGAGTGAATTTTGTCAAACAAATGATAAATTTTCCGATTTTTCGAAAAAATTTGTCATTTTTTGTATGGAAGGTCTTAATTATTTTTCCCGCAGTTTTTGGGCAATTTCATCAATAAATGATATCCTTTACCGAAAATAATGAAATTGATAGTCTAGTCCATTTATAAAAACTTCAAATATTCTCATAAACATCATTTCATGAATATTTTTTTGTAAAATAACAGAATTAATGGGAAAAAACTGAAATTTCAATGCCGGTCCTAATTAAATTTCCATGACTGTACGTAGCATAACACGTAAACGGATGCGACTGTTCTGAGAAATTGGTGTACATGAAGCGAACGAAAGTGAGCGGATTACGAACGAAACGAAGTGGTAAATTGCATAAAACTAATTTACGTTCCATTTACCTGCAGTAATACTGAAATGCCGATGATCCCTTGTGCACGATTCATCGAATCCGTAAAATTTGTGTAGAGTTGTGAATTATAACCAAATATTTGAATCTGTTTTGAAATAGAAAAAAAACCAGTGTAATTCAATTAATGATTTAGTATCAAATTGGATTGAGATCTCGATTTTTTTTTCTGGTTTCAAAATACAAACCTCCGCTGGGAATGTGTAGCCCTGTACACTGTGCTCTGATCCGTATTGATCATGAAGCCCGTAATGGATATGCATCTCTTCGAAACGGTATCGATATGACAACGGGCCACCCGTAATATTTATAGCTAAGCGAGAATCATCGTAAATCTGAGTACTGTTTGTGTCCACGCGAAACAACACGCTGTGTCCAGTATTAATGAGTACACCAGTTATCTGCACCAAAAATTATTTCGGACAATTATTATCGTATCGTTTTCGAAATTTAGTGGATTTTATTTTATTTTTTTTGAAACCGAAGAGATTTTCCATACCATTGATATGATACCAATAACAACTGATTTAAATAAAATTTAACGGCACTAACGATAGTAAATTATATTTTTAGTTACACAATTCAATCGTTATCAATCCATTTTAATATTCGATTTGGATTAAATCATTTGATCGTTAAAAACAGTTGATTGAATTATGTGGCTTACCCTATGTTTATCTATGTGCAAAGGCCTTAAATTCGGATCGAATAGTAAGCGTTGTGGTTCTAAGTTGACGGGCGATTGTCGTCGTCCTTTGTTGCAAAGCGACCATTCAGGATTTATGAGTCCCCAAAATGCTGGACCTGCCAAACGAACGTAAAAAGTAACAAACAAGCATTTTAAAACACAGACATATTGCATCGAAACATCTGAAAATGTTATAACAATGTTTGCCAAAATCCATAAGCACTTTATTATCTGATGCGACATTTTTTCTATCAGATGCAACTATGCCATCTCATATTCACACGACGCCAGCACAAATTTATGTATGAAATTTTTATTATTTATACTTTGTAGCCGATTTTCGAAGCAACAATGGGCCTTGAGTTTAAGTTTCCATACAATATGGCTGAAAAATGATCAACAACAATAGCAACAGCAATTTTATTGAGAAAACGGCATGTATGCGAATTGTGTGCCGTTACGGTATTAACAGTGAAAACACGAACTGTTGTAAAAAAAAATCATTCAACCGAGAGCTGATGGTGATGATGATGACGATGCGTTCACTCGCTATCTTGCATAGTTTGCACAAGCACGCATCGCGCCTAAAATGCTTAGTCAGCACGTCGGTCAAACCATTCACATCTAATACTTATCCTCCGTTCAATGCCTTCCAATTCAAAACACGCGTTGGATGTAAATTCTAAGCCAGGAATTCATTTTTGATGAACACCCATTTTTGTCCCAAAATACATACGTTTCCCCAAAATATATTACTCAGCTCTAAAGCACACAATTTCTCTTTGTTCATCCCATTCCGTCTTGCATATTTCTTCTACAATTTGCAACTTTCATATTCTTCGAAGGAAATCTCATTGGTTTTGCTTCATGCAGAAGAACATATTCGATGCATTGAATGCATTTATAACCGTCGATGATAATCAAAAGTGAGCTCTTGTGTCAGCTTGAAAACGAGCAAATCCTATTATTTTAAAGTTTTCAATGTGATTTGCAATTCACCAAAAATACCATTTATTTCAGTTATGAAAACAACGAAAAAACTATACTTCACTTCGATTTAACTGCATTGATGCAATTTGCACACATTTTTTTTGTCCATTCAATTCGTTTTTACATTTTCGTTTTCAAGAATCATTCTTCCATTTCTGTTCTTTTTTTTTGTTGTTGGAAAGTTTTGGCTGTCGCTCCATCGTAAATGGGATAAATCATTCACACTTCATTATTTATACAAAGTTTGGAATGTAAATGCATTTGCACAATGATAACAGATGATGTGACGCTCTTGATAACAATCTAAAGTGCATCTCCGTCTCTCACTCTCGCTCGCTCTCTCTTCGTTTCTCGGCCAAAGTAGACGTATTCCAGTGTGCGGTATGTGTGCGTGTTTTGCAAGTTTATGATTAAATGAATGAACATTGGAAACAATGCATCTGCTGATGCGATCGAACATTTGATGGATAATGGTGGTGTTCATCGTTCATGTTTTCAGCAAACCGAACCAATCGCATCGACAGCCATTAATACATTTTTAATGAATCAAAAAATGCAATTGCAATTTCACCAGAACAACACACACACACACACACATACACTCATTTTATCTTTCATCGATTCGCATAAACCCACAAATGACAGATATATATGTATATCGAAGAACGAAAAGGGATTACCGCTCTTGATGAAAATCATAAATCAACATTATTATATGCAACTGTATTGAAGTAGCATTTGTTTAATTCTTTTTTTTCTGCTGCTGCTGCTGATACTGTTAGTGTTGTTGTTGCTCCCTTCTGTTTGTCAAGAGACTTGTCCTCGCAAATTGTTCGAACAAATTGTCCACTCTTGCGAATGATGACCAACGAAGAGGTTCAGCAAACTATGAACGATTATGATTAGTAAATAAACGGTACTGTCATCTTGAGTAGTGCAAATTATGCCACTCATGAATCGCTTGAGATTAGTGACAGACACAAAGATGGAGAGCGATAGAGAGAGATAGAGATAGAGATAGAGTGTTTGTGGTATGTGGTGAAGTGCTCCACCAATTATTCGCAATCAACATGAAAAATTCACGATTCGTTTGGTCTTTCAATCTCGTTAGTGAGGCAAGCACGATGATGGCTTTTTGTTACAATTTTTCGGTATACATTTATATCGATAGAGCCATACCATATGTCACACAAAGAAGAAATGAACGTCCGAAAAGTTGAAACGGGTTTTGAATGGAAGAAACGATTCATAACGCTTAATAAGTTTGATTGCAACGACAAAAATGATTGAAAAGGCGTCTGTGATAAAGTGGTTGTGCTGCTGGGTGGAGTGAGCCAAGAGCCGTTCAAGAGCAAGAAGAATACGATAGAAAAAACTACACGAAGCAGATTGTTGCTCAAGGCTCGAAAATCAAAGTGGATTCGAAAGGCGAGCGTCTCAAAGAGATTGTGGCATACAAAGTGTCAGAGATCACAATATGATACGTGTACGACGTGAGCTATCTCTCTATTCCACTCTTCTCGGTTGCACAAAGGGCGGAATGTGTCTGTATGTCGGTATATATATCGTCTTTTCCGCCAATAACATCCACACCGGATATCTTGTGCATAAATAAAATGCTTTCAAAGCACAATTTCTATTTATTACTCATCGTAAATGTGAGCCATTGAACGTGGCATCGCATGTTTGTTCAATCTCTGGTTTTTCCCATGCATCCGAAACATCGATCTATTCATCGAGAACGAGTACAATGGCGAAAAATTGGAAAAGAAGAGAAAAGGCACACCGGCACACACACACACACACACACAAAAACTGTTCAGCGTGATAACAATGGATTTATGTGGTCGCTTCTGTTCATTTATCGATAGTCCATCATTGTTGTCGTCATAGTCGTCGCTTGATGATGAGATGATGACGTTGTTAAATGCTGTTTGATAAATTATTCTCTCCCTCCTATAGTTTTTGATAGCAGTCAACTTTTATGATATTCCGAAACATTTTCCTCTATCTCTTTCTCTGAAACGATGCCAAATTTCGACGCCGGAAAATTAATAATAACCATATCATATGATATGAAAATGATGTTCAATGGATGTTATTATTCGTGAAATGATTATGATTCAAAATTCATAATTTCCTGTTCGAAACGATTATTTTACCAACTGTGGAATGTGCTTGCACATGGATTATTTAACATATGTGTTTTTGACAGGTACGAAGGAATTTAATATTCAGTCGTTTGTGAAGATGCACCACTTCATATTTGTGAAAAATAAATGAGCACCGGATATTGATTACCCAAGCCCAACACAGTCTGTATTGAAAATCATATAGTATATGCATTGGCGTTTAGAATATAATCGTCTTTTGCAAGATTAAATCGCCAAACAAACAACATGTGACTTGAGAATATCACCTGTTGTTGAAAGCCATTTTGTGAAATTCGTACAAAGAGTGAGAAATCCTAGTCAAAATCAAAGCGAACACTTTTACATACACATTTAAAGCGAAGAAATTTCAAAAATACATATTAATTAAACGTGTTCACAACGCCGTCAACATGTTCTGACGAAGAAATTCATTAATGCCATCAAAACATAAATATTTATTTATTAAATGGATTTTCAGGCTTTGAGAGGTAGAGAGAGAGAGGTAGAGAGAGAGAGAGAATAAGTTTTAACCACTCATAATAATTCGACAGCATGAAAATAAATACAGCAAACTCGTGTGTGTGTGAGTGTCTGTCCTGACAAAGAACACAAACTTTATAACATGATTTCTCGATAAAGATAATAACCCATTCGCTACCGCATCATTTTGTCTGTTTTGCTATCAGCGATTTCCATATAACCACCACATAAATAGAACAATCGTCTTTGCCAAAACCTCATTTTTGTATTTCATTCTCCAAATTCAACGAATTTATGCCGCTAAACCACTCGGAGTAACAGGAGATTCTCTTCGGAATCGACCTTTTGGTTTCGATTAAAACACAAGTTTATTAAATGTGTTGAACATTTTCTGTGTCTATAAACCCTTTTATGTCTTTCTATTAAGCAAATAAGAGACATTGCATTTCTTCATTCTTCAAAATCCCTTCTTTGACTCGTTACTTTTTTGTGGCATTACCGCAAGACGAACGTTGGAATTTCGATGCTGATTAGAAAATTGTTTTGAATTACTTACTTGCATTTGTTGCTAACCAATGAATGTTGAATAAATAAATGCCTAGTTGTCAATAATTTATTGGTTGAACGATGGAAATACACCATTTTTTGTGGCTAAAAATATTCATAAAAAAGACGCAATGTAGCAGAGGCATTTTATCCCTCTGTACGATTTCATTTCGAAATGAAAAATAAAATCGAGTCACTTGTTCTTTTGGAACCTCTCGAGTAACATGATACTGAATTATTCAAATCCAAATGAAAATTGGCATCGAATTTCGACAGTTGCCTAATTGCAACGCTGTGAAGCACCATTATATTCAACAGATCCAAAACCTTTCAGAGTTCTGTTTGTCCCTATCGGAAGTTCACTAACATGAATCATGAATGACGTTTGAAATGCCATTTTTGACAAATATCATTTCCAATATTTGGGTAAACCTTGTGACGAAATCATTTAATCAAATTTCCAAACTCTACCGTATAGATGCCGCTAGAGCATCATTTGCTGAATATCTTCCATTTACGATTCATGTTGTTGCCTAATTGGAACTTTAAAATGTGCTCGCAAAAAATGGCATTCAACCCAATGAACCTAGTCTATCCACTCTATTCGAGATCTAACGATATTAAAAATCAATTTTTGAGTCGTTTTTTAACGAAAAATATTGTTTGTTGGAACAAAAAGGAGACATAAGAAACTTAGAATTTAAAAGCGAGGGAATAATTTTCTAGTAAAAGAAATGAATAAAAACTATGAAAAGGTTACCCATTGAAACGGAACAAATGATATTTAATGATTCCGAGAAAAATTAAATCAGTACTTCTGCTGGAAATTTGAACATCTGCTGGCAAATAATATCAGATATGGCTTTTTTTGTTAGAAGGGGGAGCGACTGTCCCGGTCATGTAAACTTTCATATATGATGTGGTTTTAATTTGCGTGCGTTTGTCGGCATTCTTTGTTCAAAGTTATAACTCGGTGTAGTCTGTATGCTCGAATATGGTAGCGCCTTAAATCATTCAACATTGAATGATGGAGCAAACAAAATGTACAAATATTTCAAGTTGGCATTTGGTGATGGTATTGTTTCTGTTGTGCATTCATACGTATACGAATTCCATGAAATTTATTTAGTGTTGATGTCGATAATTTGGTTTTCTTCCTTTTTGTTTCAGGTTAAAAGTATCCGGTTGTGTGTGTGTTTGTATTCTTACCGTTAAAAGCCACAGCCCATAGCCACAAACAAATATGTACAACGTATTCGTGGTTTACATCTTCATCTATTTAAATTAATGTACAGACGTTTGTATGGTATTTAACCCCACGCTCAAGCTCAATTATTCAAACGGTGTATTTAAAGTCTCATCTTGGTTCGTTTCCATCATTCAAAGACCATCCCAAGTACACACACACAATCACCCAACCACCAATACAATACATTACGCAACCGTATTATTCGTGATTCATCAGTTTTAAATAAGACCGAAATTTTCCTTCCGTTCATTTCAGCAAACCGTAATCAGTCAATTGAGTGTTGGTGGCTCAAGTTTCAAGTTAATATGAGAATGATTTGTCAAAAGACTTTGTATTCATCTGCCGAATAGAGGAACGATGAACCGAACGAAATGGGATTTTGCGATGGATTTCGAATGAATTTTGATTTCTAATCAAAATGGGTTAAAAATGGCGATGAAATACCACGAAATGCCTTAATTTCAGGCGATATATCAAACTGGTACGTGTAATTTTCGAACATAAACATATGAGGTAATTAACGAACCATATGAGCAAAATTATCTTTATGAATATTTTATGTCGTTTACACAACCAAACAACATTGAGCGTTGACTGCCAGCTTCTCTTCGCGCGGTGAATAATTCAAATACTTGCTTTACCATGGACTACTTTTGTACGTATAAATTAAAATTGTTTGTAACATATTTGAGATGCTTTGGTCTTACGTTGAAATGCAATCCATTCATAAGCCACGAGTGAAATGCCAACATAATTGAATGTTTAGCAAATTTGAAGTAAACTGATTAACTCTTTCCTGAGTGAAATCATGCAGTCTCATTTTCATTAATAAAAATTTAATCCGACAGAAAAAAGCATTAATATTCAATCCATATAGGATATTCGAGCTTTAGTTGTCAAAGTTGCCCAAGCTCGGTAAAATATACAGTCTCATTTTCAGTGGTTTCACATAATGTCCAATGCGATAATTGTTAATATCCTGGTTGAAGGCAATAATTGCAGAAATTTCACATATTTTAAATTGATCCGGAGAATATGCTTCAATAATGTGAAATTGTTGCAAAATTCCCGTGCTTCTCACATTTTAAATGTGTTGAAAAATGTTTCAAGAATCGGTGCGAGTTTTCCTTCAACAATTGAATGATTTGGAGCGAAAATGTAATACAGAAAAGTTGAGCGGAAAAATGTCAAATGAAAAGGGATAGCTATATAGTTCTCTATAGTTTACTATACAGTTTACTATATAGCTATCCCTTTTCCGCTCATTTATCATCGACATTTTTCCGCTCAACTTTTCTGTATTACATTTTCGCTCCAAACCATTCAATTATAATTAAAATGTACAGTGAACTGTACACTTTCACCATAATGCGTACATTTTTTGTGTGGCTTTTTGACAACATATTATCCCTGGCAGGCATTCATGGGTGTCGAGTTATTATTGCAATATTGTAACCATGGACATATAATGTCATGTGTGTGCAGATAGTGGATATGATTCAATGCATAAATAATTCTTTGAATTTGACATTTTCATTTGATTATGAGGATCTGATATCTCGTTTGCCGCACATATGAAAGCCAAATAGTGGAAAATTATGGAAACTGCTGGTTAAAGTTTGATTTCGATCATGCGGCGAGACGAGTGGTAAGGATGAACAGAGAAATGTAACCAAGACATAGTAGGAGTGAAGAGTGAACGAAGTAGAGAGTCCCAGACAACGAAGTAGAGACAGAGACATACTTTTGCACCGAGAAATAAAATCGATAGCATCGTTCGAATCGTCGACATCGAAGTATGTAAAGCCATAAAAAAGTTGACGTTACTTTTTGGGTTTTTGGGTTCGAGGTAAAACCCAATCCTTTTTGTGTGCAAAAGATGGTTTTTATTTTTTGGTCCAAATCGAGATTATAAATCGAAGTGATTTTTCATATAAAAGCCATGACCGCATCATTATGCGACTGGGTTCAGGTGACCAAAAAGGTGACAGTTTTTTTTTGAAATGTGAACGTAAAATCGTTTGCACTCATGATAAGTACATTAGAATAACAAGGAATAATAGCATTGCCGAAATGCAAATGAACTTTCAGTGAGTCGGCAATAGGAGCCACAACCATAGCCACACCAAAGGGAATTCAAAGATGAAACAAATTGCTTCGTCGCTTCGTCCCGGAAAAAAACACACACACGCTCCTCGCAAAGAACAGAAGACGCATTAGATAATGATAAAGCCAAAAATGTATTCACCGAATTGGGATCGCATCGAATTAATTATGGATGGAAAACGATTTCCACTCAACCTCTCCGGACGACGGAGTTGAGTTAATGAGTTAGCGACTGTGAAATTGTTGCAAAATGCAAAGTGTCTGAATAATTCTCGTTTTTTCTCTCTTTCTCTCTCTCTTTCTCACTCTCTTGAGACCACTTTGGACTGTGAACACCGAAGCCGTGCTATGTTTTGATTTTTTTGGTACTTTATTTTTGAAATATTCACCGCATTCTTGCATCAATGTAAAATCGATTTCTGAAATCGGCAGCCAGAAGAAAAAATACAACGCCCACGAAAATCGTCTTGAACGATGATGCCACAAACATGAATTCAAATTATATTCGTATAAATATCGAATACCATTGATAAGTATTTTGCTGTAAAATAATGACTTAGACCGCGGGCGGTTTGTTTTGTCTGTGGCAGAATATTGTGAATAGAAAATGTGTGCACTGGATTACTGATCAAAAGATACCGAAGCATTTGAAAATATACCTTGAAGGCTTATATTTCGACCGGAATTCTGTTATTATTTGTAAACATTGCAAATTGACTCACCTGAAATACCATCGTAGGTCCACCAATCTTCCCAGCTAACAGCACTCGTCACTGGAACAGAAAAAAGAAGAAAAGCTACTGTAATAACATGCTTAAAGTTTTCGAAAAATATTCCCATTTTAAAATCGTTTTTGTGTATAAAACATTGAAAAAATAACCACAAAAAATCAAACCAATAAAATAATGTTTTGGTACATTAAATCACACATTAAACATTTTTATGTTGGACTCAACCCATCAATAATTTTCATGCTGAATTTTTTCTGTTTATTTCATTTATGAAAAACAAAAATCCATTTTGCCAGACAACCGAACCAAAAAAAAATGTTTATTCATCGATGCATTATCGCTGTCATTATCGGTGTTGACGGTGGAAAAAATCAAGCCGAAATAATAATGCGATTGAGTCTTCTATTCGAACCATTCAATCAAAATCGAATTGATATTTAATTTACATTTCGAGAAAAAATACTTTCCTTTTTGAAAAGTTACTAGTTATTAATAACTATTATGATTCCATCAGACATGAAATGGCATAAATTAGCTTTTAATTGTTTACATGTCATGAGTGAATGAAAAGAGAAAAAACAAACGGTGAAACTTTCTTGTATTGTATGCTCAAGTTTAACATTGACCGTATGTGTTTGGGTTCGATGCGTGAAAAGGTGTCCGAAAAGGGATCAACCGTCGATAGACTAAATGGATGAACAGGTACGATCCGATGAATGCCTTCACTCATTCTGAATATAGGACGGGGAAGGAGGCGTCGCATTAATCACTGAGCATAAAACAGAGAAAAACAAAGCCATTAGGCAGATGTCTCACATTTGGGCGTTCTCACACATATCATTTCCAATCTCAAAACATATTTATTTACATACAAATATAATCAAATTCAAATTACAAGCACATGAGAGACTGAGCGATGGGGGAAAAAGCGACACGCACACGCACCGCTGTTTCATTTGAGGGAAAATAGTTTAATGAAAAGCTGGTTTTTGTATCAATCCAAATTAATACAAACAATTGTTTCATGAATATGAATATAACAAACTGATGGATTGTATTTTGATGTTTTATTAGTCATATAGGGATGTATGAGGTTTTGTGATTCGATTTTAGCTATTGGTAACAATCACATGATTAATTGTACGGATCAATTATCGACACAAACCATCGATATCTTTATTCCAATAATACAATTGTTTTCTCATTCAAAAAGTTTCGGAATCAAATGATTTTCAATCTTAATAAACTATTCGTTTTGACTTCTTGTAAATTTCGAATTCAGTCCATTTTGGCTGTGCACAATTTTTTTTCTCCACCGTGTTGTCATTGCAGAGTAGAAAATTGAAAAAAAATAAAATAAAGCGACAACAGTCAATTGGGACCCAATGAGACGATGTTAAGCGATGGAGCTTATCAAATGTCAACAGCACGACCACGGTTTGAATAAAAAATGGCATGAATATTTGATGAAGGCATTGCATGCAATTGCCGTCCAATGAAAACATGTACGTTTTGTTGTTGATTGGTTTTTTCTCTGGCTCGTCTCTCTTCCATCCATTGTCGTTGTATCGCATGTCGTATGCTACCGGACAAGCGAATGAAGCAATTTTTATCACTTCATTTGCAGCCGAATCAAACATAAATTTTCAATTTTCGGAATGTCACTTACCCTGACTGACAGATATTATTAACAGGAAGTGCACGAAAATACCTCCAATCAATTCAATTTCACATGAATCCAAAATATATGCATACACGTTTTCGGCTACTGTGTCTTTTTTCTCTCTCTTCCTCTTCTGGCCATTGTTTTCCTGTTGAGCCACTTTTTCACGTGAGTGCTGTGCACTACGGTTTGGTCATTATTATGCAATAAATCATCCATTTGTTGGTTTGGTATCGTATGGCTTATATATATTGCCGAAACCGGTAGCAACTACTGTGATTTCTGACAAATTCATTGGATATGCCACCCACAATGCTCTCGCACTTTGACATGCGGTGGCTTGTACGACGAGAGGGAGAGAAGAGAATGGCATTCACTTCTTATAAACATATCCGGTACATGAATACTTTGACTCCAGCCATGTCAACGTCAACAAAAACATTCCACAACATAACAAAATTGTTTTCTTCGTTACACGCACAAAAAAAACGAATATTCCATCACCGCACCATATCCAATCTTCTCCACAAAAACCGATCTGATTCGTGCTGCTTTCTCTCTGTTTGTATATTGCGCTTTGTCGGACAAGTCAAATAACAAAATTTCTTTATCTGCACGAAACAATTTGACATTATACGCTTCTAATATTGGTCTTGAACTTGTGATGTGATTTGTCGAATTGGGCGGAAACTTTCGGAATTTATTCCGGTTTCACTTGGACCAACGGCCAAAGCAATTGCCAAACGATTCGAACTACAATAATAAATGTGACACTTCCTGTTGGCCGTTTACAATCTTCAGATGCAGGGACATTTCGTTTTATCATCAGAATTAAACCATTTGGAACAATTCCAGGAAATCATCTCGAATTTCCGCCCTCTTTTGTTCAAACTCAATGAATGGATACCAACGATAAAATTCGACATTTGTTTTTCATTCGGTGATATTAAGAGTAAGTAAGAGCATATGCTTGTTTTTCGAGATTTTAAAATAATGTCTACATATTCGTATAATGTTCGGCTATAGAACTTGAAAATAAGTTTGTATAAATGTTAGCATCACTTATAAATGATAATTTGTAACACAACAAAAGCATTTTAATTCAGCATTTATTTTGTATCAGTCAAAGTCAGACGTACAATTCTTTGGATGAAAATCAACAGAGTCTCATTATAATTTAACCCTCTATTGCATTAATTTTTCCCAGGAGTACTGGTACTTGGTTGATTTTTGGCCATAGATATTTAAAAAAAAATCATAATCCTGGATTCCTCATGGTTTAGTCAGGAAATGCGATTGACATAAATCAGAGAACAATCAAATCCATTGTTTAAAAGTGTCTAAAATGTGTCTAATTTGAAGTTCGAATAATTTATTTTGTCAAATTTTTGTTTTTGCACACATTTTTGTTTATAACTTTACAATTAGACTACATAGACAAATATTGCCAAAGACAAAAATAAAGAGAAAACATTGGCAAATAAAATTTTTTTTTGAAACAATGTGATCCGATGTACAGTGTACATTCTACAGGCATTCAAATGTTGCCCGTCTAGAGGCGGTTGTATGCATTAGAGGGTTAAAAATAACTATACAAATATCGAATAACATGCGTAAAATTTAAAATTTAAGTAAGTTTTGCTGTTGGAAAAACCATAAAATGGAAGTCATACGAATATGCTTCATTTTTATTCATATAATTAAAACAAGAAAGTTAGAGTTTTTTAAGAGTCTGCGCTACACGTAGAGTCTTTTAGTACCCAAGAAAGGACTCATTTTGGGTCTAGTTTGTTATTGCATAACAAACTATAACTGGGCCGTTACATGAAATGTACATCACAATGTATGGATGGATTAGATACATAGCATACACAGTACAATAAAGTTCAGATCACCAAAAATCAAAAAACAGCTAAACTTCTGTATTAAATTCAATGCTACTGAATGCTACCACAATAACCAATACTGTACATCGTACATCATAATGTATGAAAATGAAAATTTTCAAGTATCGTATTGGTAATAGCATTTTAATCACAAGTTGTAGTTAGTCACAGATGATAATTAAACATAAAAACAGAATCTGTTTTACTTTTCCGTACACAACGTGTCAAGGGAAAGTATAGGAATTGGTCCCGAAAACTTTTTTCGCAAAATTAGCTTAGATCGTCATAAAAACTCATGAAACGCGTAGAAAACCACTTTTTGAGACACTTTTCCGTTCGTGTGCCGTCGTCGTCGTCGTCGTCGTTGTCGTCATTGTCGTCGTCGTAGCTGTTTGTAAACACTATAACTCAAAAAATAACTGAGATAATCAAAATCTGGAAATGCCAAAAGTTTTGTATTCGAAAAACTTAGTTTAAGTTCGAAGATGAGCCATTTTCGATTTGATCCTGGGGTACTTGCCCTAAGAAAAACCTCAAAAAATTGACACTTTTGTATGGGAGGTACCCGTAAATCGACTCCGATTGGCTTCAAACTTTCTGGGAATTAATTTTTTGGGAGGAAAATAAGATTCTGAAATTTTGAAACCAATCAGAATCGATTTACTATAACCTCCCATACAATTTTTTTCGGAATTTTGACTAAAATTACCGATTTTTGGACATTTTTTGTATGGGAGGTACCCGTTAATCGATTCTGATTGGCTTCAAACTTTCTGAGGTTTCATTTTTGGAGAAAAAATAAGATTCTAAAAGATTCATGTTGATCGCATCTGCAGAAGTTTGATTTTTTGTCCTCAATTTTTGTCGAAATTTTCTTGGAAAAAATTGAGGGGCAAAAACCAAACTTCTGGTAATGCGATCAAGATGAAACTTTCAGAATCTTATTTTTTCTCCAAAAAATGAAACCTCAGAAAGTTTAAAGCTAATGAGAATTTTTCACTTTATTTTTATTATTATATTTTCACTGCCTTTATTTCAAGAAAATTCACAAAAAATAACCAAAAGTACCTACGGACAACGCAGGCCAACGGTACGGAAAAGTTCGGGATTACCAATGTAATTCTTTTTATTGGAATTAAAAAATCCAAAGTTTTGACCACCGATGGAGAAAAAAAACGAAGTTATGTACATTTTCAATGTACGTTTCATGTAACGGTAAAAACGCTCTTCCACTTTCATTTATCGGGAAATTGAACTATTACCGTTCATTAAAATGTACGTTACATGGAAACACAAAACCCAAAACCAAAACGGAATGATAATTAAATTCCATATGTTCATTAAAGGAACTCATGTTCCGAATTCGATATTTGAACCGCCTTCCGTGAATGCATTACATGCGAAATAATTATTTGCAAATTGCAGTGATAAATGATTAAAATAAAACGAAATGATTCTAACTTATTTTTGGATTTTAGGTTTGTTTTTTTTAATCAAAAATTTATTTAGTTTATGAGTAGATTGCGTATCGAATGGATTAATTTTAATGGAAAAGCAAATGCAACAATTCTCACATGCGAAAATTCTTATTTTCAATTCTCATAATTAATTTTCAATGTGGTATGTTCAGTCGTTCCTCTAATTTCTTAAATGAAATCAATTAAAGAGCCGCAAAAGCAAGAACAATCGACGGAAACCAAAACGATAACTTTAAATCATTGAAGCAATTACAACAAGGAGAGAAAAGACGTCAAAAAACGCATCGACCAAGTGAAAACGTAAACACGCAAACGTGGGCAAGCTTGAAGCTCTTCACTTATGAAAATAGATTCTATCTAGTAAAAACAAGTCAAAATCGCCAGATGGAGGTCTACATTTTTCAAATCCCAGATAGTGGTAAAACTGACCTCCCCGTTTTACACACGTCTGTCAACACAACACGAAAAAACCAATTAAATTGTTACATTTCGTCTGTGTTCAGCGGGGAAAAGTAGCGCAGCGAGAAAGAAAACTAATAAATTTAAGGTGTGTATTTGAGAAACGGATGAAATGTCGATTTGGGTGTGCCGAAGCACCGCGTCAATATCGAGTATACACGGGTGATAATTAGTAAACACTAAAAAAGTATACACAGCCGTTGCGAGTTAAACTGAAACATGGCAGATCAAATCGGCCCCAATCGGATATTTATTTCGTAATTATTTCGGTGAATCAATATTATTCGAATGCATGAAATTCAAGCCATTAGTCGCGTCTCCACCCAGTTCGTGCCGTGATCAATACCGCGCTTTTACCACTTACATGATGAATTTTCTATTTTATTCTCGCTCTGCCTCTGTCTCACTCGTTGTCGTCCACTACTCAATGCCACCGCTCTTTTCCATGGGTTTGAATCATTGCACGACGCGTTCGAAATGTCTCGGTAATTGTTTTTCCAGTAGCAATGTTTGATTCTTTTCACTTCAATCCACTTCACTGTTAATGCAAATAGAACGCGAATCGCGTTCATCTTCATTTTTTGCCCGTTATTTCGTACCGTTATCTTATGCTGTCATTGCAGTTCAAACATTGAAGCAGTCATTATTTTTCCGTTTAATTAAAAAATGCTTGTGTTTTGTTTGTGTGCTTGTTTTTTTTTTCTTTCTCTTTTTGCCCCGGAAAATAACAACGCAAATTATTTTTCGGAACAAATGAGCGCACAAATTCCGCGTGTTTCATTCGTTTATTTACTTCGTTTTTTCTTCTACTCCTTCAAAAAGCATGCAACGACGTTGCAAAGCTGCAACGAGCTTTGTTGATTACTCGAGCTTCCGTAATGTTAGCCGATGTTTTTTCCCTTTCTTTCTCTTCCAGTTTGTTGTTCGTGTTCGTTTTATTTTTCGCAAAAAAGAACTTGATTGAAACGAAAACTTGATTGAAGGAAAGGGATGGAAAATCGTTACGCTTTTGAGCTTCGTTTGCCTTGAAATATTTTATTCCAATTACACTCAATCGAAAATGAAGGAAAAAAAACCAACAATTTTCTTACGTTTAATTTTTGAAAGGAAAACGGGCAAATGTATTGATTCTCCGAGATCCGAGTTTACACCACGTTCATAATTACAAATGAACTAGGTCAAAGCGCTCCAAAACTGTTTGACTTTTCAATGTGTTAAAATTTTTGGACTTTATACTCAGGGCTAAATTATCGACGTTTTCTATTTTCTTCTCATTTACCACCAACTCAAATGTCTTTTATAGTAACGAACTGTTCCAAAATCATTACGATTGTAGTCACTAATTAAAAATGAATAGGCAAGAATGCGAACGTATCGACATAAGGGACAAATCC